GGGGCGGGGGGGCTCTTTGCTTTCTCAGCGCCGCTGCTCTCCAGGTGGATAACGTTGGACAGCCTCTTGATTTCTCAGAGCCTCAGTTTTCTCCTCTGTGAAACGGGCATTGTCACAGCCCCTGCCTCACGGGCGGGGGGCTTGGGGAGGATTCAAGCCACAGGGCCCAGTGCAAAATGAGAGCTCAAAGCAGCCAACAGTTTCTCTTATTTTACACTTAGGGTCTTCTGCATATTGTGCTAGAAGTTGGAGAAATCTGGGCTTGAGGAACCCGCTGCACCACCTTTCTCCCAGGCTGTGTAAGCTTGGGCAAGTCGCTTCCCCTCTTTGAGCAGCACGTCTCTTATAGGGGCTGTAGAAGTATATGTCTCCTAGGGTCTATGTGAGAACATTCTTTAATCAAGTTCCTAGTACTTGCTCACTAGAGAATGACTGGTTTTGTTATTGGGTGTCAGAACATGGGTGTGCAAAGTGTGTCCCTGAGTGATGTTCCTGTTTATTTCTATCCCTGATTATTTGTTTAGTCTGTTTTTCCTCTCCCTAGACCAGTGATTTTGTACACCCCCCTGGGGGGGGGCACTGGGAGATGGGGACATTTGTGGTTGTCACAACTGGAGTGCTCTTGGCATCAAGTGGTTGTGGGGCCAGGGATGCTCCTCAATCCCCCCTCCCCCCAGTGCCTAGGATGGTTCCCCAGAGAAAGATCGGCCCCAAATGTCAGCAGTTAAACCCTTCCCTAGACCAGTGAGTGATTCTTTACCACTGAGACCTCTGCATTGGTGGGGGGAGTGAACCCGAAGAAATCATGTGCAAGGTTTTGTGTGTTGCACCCATTTTTGTAGGGAGCAGGAAAGGTACTTTGGAGTTAAACTCTCAAGTCAGACTAGCTGGGTTCAAAACTGATTTGTGTCTTCTTGGCTTGATGACCTTGAGTGGTGATGCCCTTATCTTTCTAAGCCTCAATTTTTCCTTCTATAGAATGGGGATTAGGTGAAACAACTCAGGATCTCAGCAAACTAATGAGGGAGCCAAATCCAGCTGAGGTCTGTTTTTGTAAATAAAGTTTTGTGGAAACAGCCACGCCCAATGGCATACACATTATGTGGCTGCTTTTGCACTATAATAGCAGTGTTGAGTCGTTGCCACAGGGATCCTGTGGCCTGTGAAGCTGAAGAAATTCTGGCCTTTTTCAGAAAATGTTTGCTGACCACTGAAATAAGCCATTATATATACAGCACTTAGCTCAGGGCCCAGAAAGTCCTTGGCATTCCAAGGATTGCACCTGAGGTTTATAATTCAATCTTGACCTGGAAGGCTGTGTGACTCTAAATGAGGTTAATCTCTGCCCCAGGTCTAGAGCTGTAGTCTTACTTGATCTTATGTTTTTTTCACCAAGACCCTACTCGGGCCAAGGTGGGAAATACTCAGTGAGGGTTGAAGGAATAAAGGGGGTTATAGGCAGGTAGGCAAGACCAAAGGTCTTCTGATGAGGAAACTGAGACCCAAAGAGAATAGCCTCCCCAAGGAACCTGGTGGTGCTGCTCTGAATTTGACAGTGACCTCACATTTTCCTGAGTCCGTATGGATCATGTGCCTCCAAGAGCTGGGGTTAAAAGGAAGATGATCTGTCCAGTGGCTCACAGTCTGCTGGCTGACGACAGGCCAGGAAAGAGCCTGTAGGAGATGCTATACCAGAGGTGGGAATAGAGCTTGGGCTTTGCTGGGAAAAGAAGGTGTCCAGCTCTGTCTGAGGAGGTGACCTTGCAGCTTGGTGTCAAAGGGAGAATAAGAGTTTCCCTGGTGGATCAGAGGAAAGGTGAATAGTGGATCTGAGTGGAGCACAGAGGGTTTGGAGCCCAGCAGGTGACACGCCGGTGCTTAGGTGCTAGGCGCACACACTTGTTATGTTTCAGGGAGCTTTCGAGGGTTTGTAAGTGTGCAGGACAACCTGGTGGCATTTTAGAAGAAAACAGGGCTGTGCTTTGGGGGGTGAACCCCAGTTCTAGCTTTGGGGCAGCCTTTCTTGGGTACCTACAGTGTCCTAGGGTGGGTGGGAGGAGCACCCACAGAAGAGATGGGCCATCCTTCAAAAAGTGGATACTTCTTCCTAGGGTATGCGGGGTAGGTCACTCATTTTAGTAAAGTATATCATTTTTTCCTTTTATTGGTCAGTCTTGGGCAGGGAAATAAAAGGAATAGAAGTTTTTTGTTTTTTAATGATAAAATGAAAAAGTGGATTGAGAGCTAGAAGAGATTCTGAAGGCGCCAAAAAGGAACTGTCTCTGGGACCCCTTTCCACACCCTGGGGCAGCACCTGCCCACCCTCACCAGGCTTATTCCCGTACCATATGCCCTGGTGATGCTTTCTGGGAGCTCACACAGGCCATACTGTTAAGAGAGAGTAGGCCTTTGAGAATGTTGTCCAGCAGCCAAAGACCTACAAGTTGTGATTGTTCCAAAGACACAGAGTGCCTAGTAGCCATCAAGCAAAAGTGCTGTCCCTGTGTCAGGCTGGGTCCTGCTCTGTGAGGAGCAGAAGTTTGTTCATCTTAAAGCTTTGTGTTTAAGTCAGATGCTCACACTGTTTCCTGTCCTCCCTGTTCAGTGAGGTGAGAGGAGAAGCAGCAGTTTTTAGGGACCACCTGTGTCAAACACTGTGCCCAGTCTTCTGCTGTGGACCTACAATCCCTTTTCTGCACTTCCGAAACCCAGATACCCAGCACACGGAAGATTTCCCAAAGTTAGTAGCAAAATCATTTGGTCAGAAAGTTTAACTTGTGCTGACCTAGAGTCTTTTCTTTTTTCCACTAGTGTCTAGCAATGATTTTGAGCTGGGAGTGGTTTGGCCATGTCTGGGGACATCTGTGGTTGTCACTGCTTGGGAGGTGCTCGTGGAATCAAGTTAGTGGGGGCAAAGGATGCTGCCCAACCCCCCACAGTACCCAGGACAACCCCCACAAAGAGAATGAACTAGCCCCCATGTCAGCAGTGCTGAAGGGGAGAAACCCTGCGCTAATTATTTGGGAAAATAGTGAATTTCATCCCTGCTCACTCTAGACACCAGTATAAATCCCCGATGGTCAGACAGTGTAAACCAGGATGACCCCAGCATCTGTGTGTCACCTCCTCTCTCCTCTCTCTCAGGCTGTGCATTTAAATGTGTGCAGCCTTGCCCTGCCTGGTTTGGCTCAGTGGTTAGAGCGTCGGCCTGCAAACTGAAGGGTCCTGGGTTCGATTCCAATTGAGGGCACATACTTCGGTTGCAGGCTTGGTCCCGCTCAGGGTGCGAGTGGGAGGCAACCAATTGATGTGTCTCTCTTACATCTATGTTTCTCTTTCTCTCTCCCTTCCACTCTCTTTGAAAAGCAATGGAAAAAATATCCTTGTGTGTGGATTAATAAATAAATAAATGTGTGCAGCCTCCTAGGACCTCAGTAGTCAAATGGTTATGGAACACAGTCTCCTGAGATCAGTGGAATCCCCTGACCCAGGGGGTCTTGCCTGGGATAATCCTGCCCCCACCCCCAGCTCCAAGGGAACTTTAGATGGATTCCAGAGATGCTATTAAACATCCTATAGTGCACTGGAAAGTTCCTCACACAGAAAATGTTCCATATGTCAATAGTGCCTGGGCGGAGAAACCCTGCATTAGGGCACTGAATTCTCAACAGCTTGTGAAAATACCTGTTACCTCATTTTGTAGAAGAGGAAACTGAGGGCATCAACTGGGACTCTTTCAGATGTGACACAGGGACAGGGAAGGCAACATGCAGCTGGCCTTAGGGAGAAATGGCTTTACCTAAGACATTGTGACTCCAGATCTTATCCTCCAGGGAAAAGAGATGTCCTGTCTAGCCCATCATCCAGACACTGGCCCAGGGCATGCTCCAGGGGCCCTGACTTGTTGACACTCTGGTGTATGGGAGGAAATCACATCAATAGACCAGGAGAAGCCTCTCAGAGGTAGGCAGCGGGAGTTGCCTTAAATTAGTTCAGTGGGGGCAGGAGGTGGGGAACAGGGACCTGGGATCTCAGAGGTTTATATTCTGAGAGGAGGGCCTTTGAAACAGAGTTTTTTAATTATAGTAAAATAGACATAAAATTTACCATTTTAACTATTTTTTTGTTCATTTTGTTGTTAATCCTCACCAAAGGATATATTTTTCCATTGATTTCTAGAGAGAGTGGAAGGGAGAGATGGAGGGTGGAGGAGAGAGAGAGAGAAAAACATCGATGTGAAAGAGACACATTGAATCGTTGCCTTCCTTCACATGCCCCCACTGGGGCTGGGATCAAACCTGCAACCCAGGTACACGCCCTTGACCGGGAATAGAACCTGTGATCCTTCGGTGCACTGGCCGATGCTCTAACCTCTGAGCCACACCAGGCAGGCCTTTTTTTTTTTTTTCCAATCCTCACCAGAGGATATTTTTTCCATTGCTTTTCAGAGAGAGTGGAAGGGAGGCAGGGAGGGAGGAGCAGGGAGAACATCCATGTGAGAGATACATTGACTGGTTGCCTACCTGCACGCACCCCAACCACACACCGCAACCGGGGGCAGGGAGTGAACCTGGGTCCCTTTGGTGCACAGGCCGAGGCTCTAACTACTGAGCACACCGGCCAGGTTTTAAGTAACAATTCAGTGGTAGTTAAGCACATTCACGTTGTGCAACCATCCCCACCATCTATCTCCAGAACTCTCTCATCTTCCCAAACTGAAATTCTGTCCCCATTCAACACTAACTCCCTTCCTCCAGCTCATCACCCACCATTTACTTTGTCTCTGATTTGCAATTGATTTTAGAGAAAGAGATACACTGACTGGTTGTTCCACTTATTTATGCATTCATTGGTTGATTCTTGTATGTGCCCTGACTGGGGATTGAACCCGTAACCTTAGCATATCGGGACAATGCTCTAACTAACGGAGCTATCCAGCCAGGGCCTGTCTCTGTGAATTTGAATCCTCTAAAGAGCTCGTATGAGTGGAATCACACAGTATTTGTTCTTCTGTCTGGCTTATGTCGCTGAGCATTATGTCCAGAAGGCTCATCCATGTTGTAACAGGTGTCAGAACTTCCTTTTTAAAGTTGAATAATATTCCATGGTGTGGATGGACCACATTGTGTTGATCCACATTCATCCATCAACGGACATTGGAGCCTGTCCACCTTTCAGCTACTGTGAGTCATGCTGCTACCTGTCAAGAATATGTGTAAAACAAACATTTTTTATGTTCTTGACAGCATGTCTGTCTCCTAGGGTTTGGAGGCTGGCAGATGGCCAGTTTGCTCTCAGGACCCTCCAGCTGGGGAGCATGAGTCACTTTTTGGGACCTCACTGTCTTCAAAACAAGCAGGTTGTGGTTGATCTTCATGGGCCCCTGTGTATTGTCCCCAAGATCCTCTGAATCTGGGACTGGCCATTTGTCCCCCAGGCTCTGGCACACCCTGATCGCAGACCTGGTTCCAGGGATGCTTTTGGGCCAAAGGCACTTGCTTGGTAAAAGCTCATTGTGTCCAGAAATAGAGGGGGAAACTCACAACCATCCCCCGAGAGCTTTCCAGGGATGTCTGTAACTCCTGTCCAACTGTACAGAACATAGCTATTTGAAGTTCGTCTCCATTTTAGAAACTGAAACATAATTCACATACCATAAAAACCAGTAGATTTTAGTATATTCACAGAGTTGTACAACTATCACCATGAGTTCCAGAGCATTCCATCACCATTGAAAGCAGCCAAATCCCCATTAGCAGCCACTCCACAGTCCCCCTGACAACCATAAACTCACTTCCTTTCTCTGGATTTGCCTGTTTGGGGCATTTCACGTAAATGGAATCACACACAGTATGGCCTTTTGTGTATGACTCCTCTCTTTTAAGAAGTTGTTGTTGATGGATGTGGTTTTCCATGAACCAGAGTCAGAAAGCTTGGAACATGGCCAGCATCACACGCCTTGACTGCCCTTGCACCACAACTTTTAGGCGCCAAATGCTAGCATCAGCTCAGTTTGCTGTCAGCCAGCTTGTAAAGCCTGGAGGTTAATGACTCACTCTTCTGATCTCTGGCCAGTAACGGGTTAATAATGATGTGGTCAGGAGGCCCACTCCTTGATTTCTTGAGGGCACAGGCTGTTTACCCCACTGGAGATGTTTCAGGGGGACCAAGATGCTTCACACCGTGACTCCCAGCCATGCTGAGTGGATATGAGGGGCTTTGGGCAGCATGTAGGTCTCCATCCGCTCCTGGATCCTCTCTAACTGGGAGCAACGATGCACCTCAAAGGTTGCTGTATGGCGGAAGTGAGGTGTTCTGTGTAAAGTGCCAGACAAATCACAGGAGCTCAGGTAGCAGGCTCCTCACACATTTCTATTCTAACCTCGGCACTAGGGACATCAGGGCCTGGTTCCTGTCTGTGGTGGGCCATCCTGGGCACTGGGGGGGGGTTGAGCAGCATCCCTGGCCCCACCCACTCAGTGCCAGGAGCACCCCCAGTTGTGACAACCACAAATCTCTCTAGACTCAGCCCAGGCAGTACAGCACATTGCAGAGGAACCCAGGAGGGCCTTTCAGTCTGCTCGGGCCAATCCATGATGCCTGTGTCATCCCTTGTGTGCCTTGGAAACTTGGGTTTCACAGACCTGCAGGGCTCCAGCCCATGTTAGGCAGCCCTCTTGAGTCCTCGGGGAGCCCCAGCCTGCTCCCATCCAGCCAGTGAAAGGGTGAGGACCACTAGGCCCAGGGCTTTGTTGCTCTCCTGTGAAAGCAAGGAGGAGGAACTTCGAGGGGTGCTCTAAGTACCCACATGCACAAGAGCAGGAGCTCTGAGCCTCCTTGCTTCAGTGTCTCATCTGTGAAACGGGATTGTTAACTTTTTACCTCACAGATAAAAGTGGCCATTGTGCTTGGGTGGGGGACACATCTTCTGCAGAGTCCTGCCTAGAGCAGGACCTGTGAGTGTGTGGAAGAGTGCCTACCTAAACAGCCCGGTCCTCATGCTTTTGCCTGGGGTCTACAGATCCTGAAAACCCCTGGACATCATTTCTTCCCGTCTCAAGATGGATAACAAGAAGCGCCTGGCCTATGCCATCATCCGCTTCCTACATGACCAGCTGCGGCACGGGGGGCTCTCATCTGATGCCCAGGAGAGTTTGGAAGGTACACCTCCTTCGGCCCTGGCAATGGAGTCCCCTGTCCCCACCACCTTCTCCCGCTCCTGCTCCTCTTCTTTCCCTCTTCCCCTTCCTTCATCGATGCCAAGAACCACTACAGGGTAGGTATGATAGGCCAGCATATTTGCCCAGCCGTGGACACTGGTCATGTCCTTGTGTCACAGGCAAGGCCACCGAGCCCTAAGCAGGCACAGAACTGAGCTCTCCAGCCTCCTAGCCCAGTGCCCTTCCCTCACCACAGGGGCCACCCCTCTATTGCAGAGTGTCCCTGGCATCTGGACCCCCATGTCACATTCCAGGCTGGGCTCAGCTCCAAGCCTCCCAGCCAGATGGCCCCAGCATAGTGACCTCACAGAGAGCCCTGATGTCACCCACCTGAACCCCACTGGGCAAGGACAGCATCTTCCCCCACACTTCCTTGCTGTTAGGGCTCAAGGGCATATCTACCCATCCTGAGTTTCCCACAGCTCTGAGCTAACCAGGAAGACTCCAAACCAGGGCTCAAGGGGCACACATTGCATTGTGCTCCGGGGTCTCTACCAACCCTCCTGAAGAAAACTAGGCACGAGCCCTGCCTCCTGAGCCCCAATTGTAAACTTGGGTACATTCAGAAGAAAATACCTTTGTGTTCCTTGTAGTTGCAATCCAGTGCCTGGAGACCGCTTTTGGGGTGACAGTGGAAGACAGTGACCTTGCACTCTCTCAGACTCTTCCAGAAATATTTGAAGCTGCCGCAAGCAAGGTAAGCTTTGGGGCTGCCCCCACCACAGCCCAAAACAGTGAGAGCAGCATGGGTAGATAACAGCTCTAAAGCATGTCCCTCCTGGGTGAGGGAAGTAGGGCACCAGCATTGCGGGCACTGGGCCTGAGTTCCTCTCTCTCAGACCTCAGAGGCCCCTGATGGGGGAGGGAGGCTCAAGGTGCTGGGTTTGGAGGAGGAAGAGGACAGTAGGACTGCCATCTTTGCTTTGGGGCCAGGAGATGCCACAGAACCTGAGGAGCCCCGAGCGAACTCCACCTTCAGAGGAGGACTCAGCCGAGGCAGAGCGCCTCAAAACCGAAGGTGAGAGAAGGGTTCTCCATCCCCCTTGGGCACCTTGCCCACCTGGACTCCAGGGGCTGCAAGAGGGTGAGGTAGGTTGGTCCCTGGCTTTGAAGCCAAGGGAGGGTTGCTCTTGAGCAATAGACAGCAAACCAGCCTTTGGAGATAGGGTGGAGATGGCTTTTAAGAACACAGATGTATGTGGAGAAATTGTAGTTTCACACATAACAGGTGAGAATGTAAGTGGTGCAGCTGCTATGGAAATAGTCTGACAGCTTCCCAAATAGTTAAGCATAGAGTGATCACATGACCCAGCAAATACACGCGTCCACAAAGATGCTTGTACACAAATGCTCATAGGAGCACAATTCATAGTAACCAAGAAGTGTAAACCACCCAGATGTCAGTCTGCTGGGGAACAGATACATACAAGGTGGCCTATCCACGCACTGGAATGTTACTCAGCCATGAAAAGTAGTGAGGCACTGACCGTGCTACAACATGGATGGACCTTGAACACATGAAGCTCAGTGAGAGAAGCCAGACACAAAAGGCCACACAGTGTGTGAGTCTATTTATATGAAATGTCCAGAACAGGTAAATCCACAGACAGAGGAAGTGGGTTCATGGTTATCAGGCTAGGAGGGGTGAATTGACTACTGATGAGGACAGAGTTACTTTTTGGGGTGATGGATGTTCTGAAATTAGATGGAGGTTCTGGTTGCACAACTCTGAATATACTAAGAAAACACTTAATTGTACACTTTTAAAGGGTGAATTTCGTGGTATGTGGATTACATCTCATTGAAACTGGGCTCTATTTCTAAAAGAAGATGCAGAAGTGACAGTATTTGAGACTTACGTGCCCAAGCACCACAACCAAAGCAGTAACAGCTACCATCACCAAGTGCTGGCTCAGGCCAGCCCTTGCAAGACATTCAATGCAATCCACACCCCCAAGCCTACGCCTGAGTGTTTGTATCCTGCCCCCTGAAATCTCAGGCCTTCAGTTAGGAGCTGAGAGAGCTGAGAATGACACCTCAGACCCCTTAGGTCTCTTGTGAACAGCCAGTGTACATTTTTTTTCTTTCTCTCTAGGAAATGAGCAGATGAAAGTTGAGAACTTTGAGGCTGCCGTGCACTTCTACGGGAAAGCTATCGAGCTCAATCCCGCAAACGCTGTCTATTTCTGTAACAGGTACCTGCCAGGCCTGCTCAGGGGCCAGGTCAGCCAATCTCACTTCCTGGTGAATTGGACAGGCTATTGTACTATAGGTTACTGATTGCCCCACCACAATCCCAAATAACCATAGTGTTAGGCAGTCAGCGAGCTGTCCATCAGTTGATGGTGATGTTAAAATTAGGTGTTACCATTCTCTACTCAGATGTGGAGTGAAGAAAATAACCCAAAATTTGGATAACGTCATGCATATGCTCACGGCAGCATTGACAATAGTGAGGAACTGCATCTGGCCTGTACTTTTTCTTTTTCCTTGTTTTTATTTTTATTTATTTTAATATATATATTGATTTCAGAGAGAGGAAGGGAGAGGGAGAGAGAGAGATAGAAACATCAATGATGAGAGTCATTTACCAGCTGCCTCCTGCATGCCCCTTACTGGGAATCGAGCCTGCAACCTGGGCATGTACCCTGACCGGGAATCAAACTGCAATCTCCTGAATCATGGGGTCAGTCCTCAACCCCTGAGCCACACTGACTGGTTGGCCTGTGCTTTCAAAGGAAAAGTCAAATTAGCTGTCACATAGCTTCACTCTACAGAACATTGTGCTAATGAGAGGGACTGAGTGGAAAGCAGGAGGTAGCATCGCACAATCAGTGTGGAAGCCATGGAAACACATAGTGTATAGAAGATACCAGAAGCATGCATGCCAAGGGTTGTCCACATCATCTCAGGGTAGAAGTGCCTTTGTTTTGATTTCTTTTTTTTTTAAATTTTTTTGGGGGGAGGTAATTCTAGATATACAGAAAAGTTGCAGAGGGCATGCAGACTTATTTGGCAACATAAGATGGGCATGAGCTCCCCCAAAAGAAAGAGCCTGCACCGCAGAGCCCTGTGACTGTGGGTTCAGAACCAGGTCCTTTCACTGCCTGTCTGTTGTGCAGCATGGGGCCACACCCCTCTGCCTCCCTCGGCCTTAGTTTCCCCTGGCAAGTGGGGCATCACCCTTTCCACAGCCCCCCAGCACAGGTGCCTAGCAGATGGATGTCCATGTCAAAGCCCGCACACCCCTTTGCAACCCCATATCCGCCTTACCTTACAGATGGGGAAACCAAGGCCCATCCCCAAATGGCTCATCCTAGGTGGCCAACAAGGTACATAATTCTGAATGCCCTGCTTTATTTCCTCAGAGCCGCAGCCTACAGCAAACTGGGGAATTACGCAGGGGCCGTGCAGGACTGTGAGCGGGCCATCTGCATAGACCCGTCCTACAGCAAAGCATATGGGAGGATGGGGTGAGTGCCTGGGTAGGTGCCCCTTGTGAGGCCGGGAGGATCCAACCCATCTATCTGTCTGGGCCTGAACTGCCCTTCCCCCTGCATCCACCACATTCCTCCTCTGATTGTGTGGAGGGTATTCCATTCTAATAACCTACTCTCCAACTCCAGCTGTGGGTCCAGCCATTCAATTCAGTCCTGACTTCACCTACTGATCAGATCCCACCAGTTCAGGGATCAGTTCCACAAGACCACCCCCACTCAGACACCAATCACAAGTCCAAGTTGTCACCTGGGTTTCTGACTCACCAGCTATAATATGGGTTGCCCATTACCCCCTTCTCAGGATTAATAATCCCCTGGAATGACACAGAATTCAGGAAAACACTTTACCTACCTTTACCAGTTTGTTAGGATTCAGATGGAACAGCTAGATAGAGGCACACGGTAAAATCCAGCATGGTCCTGGATTTTGGGTGCCAGAGCCTCTGTCACTGTGGAGTTGGGGGTATACCACCTCCTGGAACCTGGATGTGGTCACCCTCTTTAGGTGGGGCTCCTTCAGAAGGGGCTCCTTATGAATAATACACACCTATGACTCTGGAAATTTCAGGGATTTTAGGAACTCTGCCAGGAGCAGGGTCAAGGACCGACCATATAAATTTCTTTATCTGACCATCCCTGTCCCCTTGGTACTCCATCCTTTGGGCCGTGAAAGCCCTTGGTATTGGGCACCACCACTAGGACACTCACACCTGTGCATTTGAGTTGTCCCATGTTCATCCTCTTAGCCCTTCCTCTGACCCCCTCGTGTGTCCTCCACTGGAGCCCAGACTGGCCAAGGAATGATGACATAAACATGGAGATAGTTTGAGGTGTGGGGGCCAAGGGAGGAGCTAGAAGCTCCCAGGGCCTCTCCCCTTCATCCCCAGCATCTCTCCCCCCAGGCTGGCGCTCTCCAGTTTGAACAAGCACACGGAGGCTGTGGCCTACTATAAGAAGGCCCTGGAGCTGGACCCTGACAACGAAACATATAAGTCCAACCTCAAGATAGCGGAACTGAAGCTGAGAGAGGCACCCAGTCCTGTGAGTTCCCCCAGGAACAAGAGGTGTGATTCTGTCAGGGAGGCAGAGCACAGGGCAGGCCAGGCTTGACCTGTGTGCAAAGAATGTACTGTTAGGGGACCTGGCATTTGTTTAAGCAGGTATGAGATATACATACAGAAATGCCTGTTAGGAAGGAAGATGTTTTTATTTTCACAGATCCCCAGAAACAGGAGGGTACAAGCTGCAGGGTTGCATGGGGAAGCACCAGGGTCAATCATGAGGCAACGAGAGGGGCGAAATGTGGACCAGAGCCTTTGTTATGATTTCATGGGAAGAAAAGGGTGATGTGGGGGAAGCAGGCTTGCGATTTACTAGTTTGAATAATTCCAGGGAACTCTGGGCTAGGGGCTGGCCCCAACTGTCTGGCACCTGGCTCTGGGGTGACTGTGGCAGGAGGATAGTTGTCCGAGTGTGAGAATCCCATAGAGGAGAGGGTGGGAGTGGACACTGGGCTGACTGACTTGCATTTGAAAGGTGCATTCCTAGGTGAGTTGTGGACTGTGTCTAGGAATTGGTCACCTTGGGGACGGCCTGTTCCTCTAGGGTCTGCCAGGCCCCAGGTATCAGAGCATCAGAAAGTGAAAGATGTGGTCAACACAGTGAGTGCTTTTCCCAGTGATGGACACCGGGGCTCCTGCTTTTTTACAAAGTACCCCTAGCCATATGGCCTAGCTGCTCAGGCTGAGAGCGCATTTATTTGAGTTTAACCTCTTAGAACTTCAGTTGGGCCCCACATGGGGTCTTATCTCTCAGTTCCTGAGACCAGTATCATGGCCCTGTGTCCTAATGCCACTAACCAGTGCTTTCCTCATCCCCGCAGACAGGAGGGGTCGGCAGCTTTGACATCGCGGGCCTGCTGAACAACCCCAGCTTCATGAGCATGGTAACTGCCCTCATCTCCCTCCCAGCAGTATCCTTGCCCACCACCTGGGCCTGCCACATCACTGCCTGCCATAGACCAGGGCCACTGATGTGGCACTGTGGGCACTGGGGCTGGGACCACTCTGGGGTGGGGGCCTGCCTGGGCGCTGTGGGATTTTGAGCAGTATCCCTGGCCCTACCTACTCCATGCCAGGAGTACCCCCAGTTATGACAACCAAAGATGTTTCAGTTATTATGTGTCCCCTGTGGACAGCATGGCCCCAAGTGAGACCCCCAGTATTGAGCACAAAGGACAAATCATCCTACCTCTCCTGGCTGAATAACCTGGGAAAGCTACCTCCCCTCTGCCCCAGCCTGGTGTTCTCACAGGGAGACAGTGATAGTGATATGGCCATGCCTGCAGATGCAAATGGGACACCAGAGCACTAGGTGCCTCCAACATGAAGTGCCACCAAAGACTTAAGTCTGGAGGCACTTCTGTCCCTTGAGAGCAGGCTCCTAGCTGTGACCTGTAGGCTGATCCCTACATACACGTGTCCATTTCTGGGTAATCTTGCTCAACCTGAGGCCGCACTGCTGGCCTACAGAGCCTAAGGGTGGAGGGTCTCAAACTGTCAAGAACAGGAAAATCTGGAACCCACTGGCAGAGAGAGATCCTCAGTACATCAAGGAGCATCTCACCTCCTAAATCGGCAGAGGCTGCACTTTCGTCATAAGCCTACACCGCAGCCAAAGCTGGGGTCTCTGTTGATGGACAGGGATGAGTGGGTACCAGCTCTCCAAAGGGCACCCTGGCTTGAGGACTCAGCCTTGTAATAGTCACTCCTTTTGACCCCGCCTACCCAGCCACCGCTGGTTTGTGTACTTTTACTGGCACAGCTCCGCTCGTGCGGCTTTTGGCAAATCTGATTGGTTGAGGCAGAGACTGGCCCCAAAGACAACAGTACTTAACCTATGGCTCTTTACAGAAAGTTAGGCAGCCCGTGAGCAATGGTCTGGCAGGCAGCTCTTCAGTTCCTACCCTTCACTCCCTGACCTGGGTTCTAAGGAAATGTCCTCAGTGGAGAAGTGAAGGCACGAAAGTGCCCAGTGCAGTGTTCTTTACTGATAGAGCAAAACTGGGGACTGCCTGGCTCTCCTAATATCTTCAGTGACCCAAAAAAAGAGATCTAAAATACATCCATCCAGTGAAACCTAAGGTGCCAGTGAAGAAATGTTAGGTGTCCTGGAGTCTCCTGAAATAAAGGTCCCAGACAGGATCAAAGTGGTAAAACTGGTGAAACGTGAGTCTCAGCGCATGGAGGAAGAAACGGTGTAGGGAAGGGGTGGTGAGAGCAAGCACCTGGGGTGACATACTTGCTATGCTGGGGCAAGAGAGCCCAAGGTGCTTGAGAGGGAATGTTCTCAATCAGAACTTGTTGGTAGCTGTCCTCTGATGATCGGTTCTTTTCTTCAGGCATCAAACCTGATGAACAACCCCCAGGTTCAGCAGCTGTAAGTGACAGCCCTTCTCCCCTGGGTCTTGTGCTTAAATCTGTTTCTGTTGTGGTAAAACACATAAGATTTATTGTTCTAACCATTTAATTTACAACTCAGTGGCATTAAGTGCATTTACAGTGTCATGCAGCTATCAAATCCATCTAGTTCCAGAATATTCCACCACCTCAAAAAGAAGCCCCATCGTCATTGTAGTCACTCCCCCCCCTCCAGCCCCTGGCAACAACTAACCCACATCCTATTTGTGACTTTAGTCTGTTCTGAACAATTCACTTAAATGAAATCACACACCGTAGGACCTATTGTGTCACAGACATTTCTCAGTGTCACTTGGGGGCTAGAATTGCCCAGTTGAGAATCAATGTCATTAGAACAAAAAGCTGTTCCTGGGAAAGCTGATGGAATTCACAGGGGCTACCATCAGGGAGAAGGGTGGGCCAAGGGTGGGTTTCAGTCAGGGGATCTGCCAGATGGTGACAGAGAACATCTCTTGCTAGCAGAAGCTAAGGGCTGAGTGGAGCCACTGTGGGACTGGGTGGGCTGGGCCATCCTGTGCGAGTCATAGGCTCTCTTCTTGCAGCATGTCTGGGATGATTTCCGGCAGCCACAACCCCCTGGGGACTCCTGGCACCAGCCCCTCACAGAATGACCTGGCCAGTCTCATCCAGGCGTGAGTAGACCTGCATAGTGGGGACACAGTGGGCAGGCAGGGGCACTCCACATGGGAAAATGGAAGTGTCAGCACTGCCCAGCTAGTAGCCACACTGCCCTTGGGGGTCACACATGGGGACTCATGATGAATGCCCGGGGGGCATTTCCATATGATCCTCCAAGGAGCAGGCCAGTATCCTGGCTGGACTGAGCCTCGCATTTCTCTCACAGGGGCCAGCAGTTTGCTCAGCAGATGCAACAGCAGAACCCAGAGCTGATTGAGCAGCTTCGAAGTCAGATCAGAAGTCGAACACCCAGTGCCAGCAACGATGACCAGCAGGAATGACCGCCCACGTGAGTCCCCTCAGGCTGAAGGGCGGTGAGGGGGTGCAGGCCCCCTTCCAGGTGTTTCCACCAAATTTTTTTCCTCCCCCTCCCAACTCCCACCGAGAGACTCGGGCTGAAACCCCAAAGCTCCTGGAAGGGCTGGTGCCTGAGTGTCTACAGGTGATGAGTGTGCAGAAAAGTGTTGGCAGAGTGCTTTTTTGTGCACCCACAGAAAGTGTCCTGGTGGCCCCAATGGATGTGAGATGAGGTCGCCTGGGCAGGGGAAGGACAGACCTATATCTGCCTCTCCTTCACGTGATTTTGGGGTATTGTGTTATTTTGTTTTGCTATGGGCAAATGTTACATGAACAATTGCTTAAAAATACACTTGGAGGGTCCCTGGAGGCCTTGGCTGGCTTGTTTAGCTGTCCCCCAAGCCCCTGACCTCCACCCTGTCTATCTCCAGGGATTCTGCTCCCTGGATACAGGTCACAGGTGGCTTTCCTTCCCAAGACATTCACATCCTGCTGTGTGGTGTCACCTCTTTATTTTGTTATCATCAACCTCACATTTTTCTTTTAACCATGATTTTTTATAGAAAAATGTAAAGAAAAAAACACAGAAAAGCAAAATAACTTTAATCTTTCCATGCAGAGCAACTAGTGTTAATATTTGGGGTACTTTTTCTTTTTTTCTCTTTTTTTTTTTTTGCCTTAAATTTAAGAAATTTAAGAAAAAACATAGCTCAGGTCAATTTTGTAATTGTTATTTGTTGGAACTTTATCCCCAAACTACCTTCACTGACATTTTCACGTCTGGGCCCCAGGACCACCTGTGATGATGGCCATGCTGTTTCTGTGCTTACACAGCAGCCACAAGCCACACAGAGGTGCACTGAATTTAGATTTCATCAGCTTCAGTAGTGCCATCTCGAATCTGGGCACCTGCCTGACTGACCACCTATGTGTCTTTTCCTTCCAGCCATTCCAGTGCCATCGGGTTCTTCCCGGCTTACTGGAGCCTCCACACATTCTGCCATTTTCTCCCATCGGATTGCCAGAGAGGGAAGAAGAAAAAGAAATTGGACCTGCATGAGACGGATTTTTATGCTTTTTATTTTTTCCCTTCACCCTCACCTCCCGTTTTGTACTCCCTCATGGCTCCCAGACCCTTCTCGAAACAGAGCCAGCAAGCTGTGAATGCAGACCAGCACCAATCTCCAAAAACCCAGTCACTAAAGTATTTTCTAGAATATTCCGGAGTGGGGATGGTCCTCGGGGTGCTCTCCAAGAAGCTACTGGTTTTATGTCCAGCCACATCCGAAGCCTCTTTTTGAGTCAACCTTGGCTGCTCAGACGAGCTCACTGCCAGCCACGGTCTGGACACCAGTGTCCACCGGGCCCTCAGACCACAGGTTTTTGCATGAGGAACTTTAGTTGCAGATTCCTAAAGACATTTTCATTTCCCTGCGCCTGTTGGGAGTGGGACTGTCTCGGTGTGCCTAGGGCAGCTTTGGGGACAATCGAACGTTTTGATAGATGTGCTTTTCACCCCTTTCGATCCTCCTTCCCCAGTACTCACACCTGACAGACCTCGAGGGGCGTGATCATTACCTTCAGGCCTGGTCCCCAAGCCATCCTTGCCTGCCTTTGTGTCTGGCCCATGGACTCCCAGCGGGCTCCCCTTCCTGTTCTGGGGCCCCTGGGGCTACCCTCCTCAGCCTGCAATTGTCGAGCAGGCAAGAGCTGCCTCCAGGGAGGGTAAACACACAAGCCAGAGCCAGGTAGCCTGCCTAAGATGCAAGGCCACCATGGACATCCCTGCGTCCCCTGCTTGGGCGGGGGATTTAGGGGCTATCTGTTGAGTCCCCCTGTGCTGACAGCAGTGTTGGAGTCTCCCTCGTGGTCTGCAAGATCGACCCGGTGCCGTGTGTAATAGGAAACTAGTAGGAAGAATGGCCACCACCAGCCACCTGCAGTGGTCACTTGGGTGGTAAGGTGGCCCTAACTCTTTAAGTGCTAGCCATGGTGACAAAATAACGTGTGGGGAATAAATAGACATCGTGACCTCTGCCCGTCTCTGCATTGACACCTCGGCGCCACCCCTGCCCCAAGTTTCCAGAACCCCCCAGCCTAGAGTTTCCACACCACCCAGGATACTGAATAACATCACTACCTGACACGACTAAGCTCTTCTTGTGCCAGGGGTCACAGATGGCTCCAGAAACAGCAAACCTCTGGGCTGTCCCATGTTCTTCCCTCACCTTTGACCACAGTCACACTCCCACACCCACTATGTAAATGGTGACCTTATGGGTTAAGCTAGACTCCTAGGTTCTGAGGGACAGAGCAGTAAGGTTATTGTGTGCATTGCTTTTCTAGTATGTTCTTAAAGCCCATAAATTCACCATTCTGTAACCCAAAGACCCTCCTGTAACTTCCAGGGGAGATACGTCTTAGGCAGGAAGGAGCCCAGTAAACTTCAGGCTTGGCTTGGCCCCAGTCCTAGGGTTCGTCCCCAAACCTTTGTGGATATAGAAAGCACTTCATAGTCATTACAAAAACTGCGTGGACTCTCAGTTCATTACATGGTGGGCACCATCATACCCATTTCACAGGTGAAGAAATGGAGCTTTGACTCCTGAGCTTACCCAGCCCTGAATGGCAAACCTGGTGCAGCGCAGCCCCCAATTGTGCTAGGAGTGGCTGGCTGAGGACCCCAACTTTGTGTGAGAGCTGCCTGCTCCAGCAACAGATGAAGAAATGAGATCTTCAGGCTCAGCGGTGGTTGGTCCTCCCACAAATCAGGAAAAAAATGACAAAATATGGACTGAGAGCCGCCCCAGGAAGCACTCAGCCTGGTACGGAGAGTGCATGGGGAGGGGCAAGAGTGAGGCCTGTGCCTGTCTTCACCAGGGATGATTCTGTCCCAGAATCACTATTGTCATGACTGGGGGTGCTCCTGGCATCAAGTGGGTGGAGGCCAGGGGTGCTGCTCAGAACCCTGCAGTGCCCAGGAGAGCCTCCCCCCCACAGAATCATCTGGCCCCAATGTCCATGGTGCTGAGGGGAGACCCTGCACTAGAACAATGCGTATCAATGTGTGACAACCCCTGGCCCAGGAACATCAGCAGCTGGGAACTTTGTAGAAATGCAAATTCTTGGCCTCCCACCTCCAGACCTACTGGATCAAAAATGAGGTGAGTCCCAGTCATCTGTGTTTTAACAAATATTCCTGATGATTCTGATGCCCACCAATGTTCGAGAACCATTGGTTGGGTCTGTGCATTCCGAATTTAGCCAGCTGCCTTTGGGTTCTGCATTTTGAACTATTAAAATAGTGCCTTTATTGATTTCAGAGAGAGGAAGGGAGAGAGAGAGAAACATCAATGATGAGAGTTATTGATCGGCTGCCTCTTGCACACCCCCTACTGGAGATTGAGCCTGCAACCCGGGTATGTGCTCTGACCAGGAATCAAAACTCCATGCTCAAAGGCTGAGCTACGCCGGCCGGGTTGGGTTCTGCATTTTAAATGGGCAGCCCAGATGATTCTGACCTGCATATTTGGAGATCCCCACCCACTTTGAGAAACCATGGTGGGAACGTGAAAATGAGCTGTACATTCCAGAAGCATCTACAGATGTGTCTTAGGTCTTCCCAGTCTCTGTTCCTTCCCTCCCCTCCTGTGTGCATTGCTGGGAGACCCTGCACAGCTGCTTCCAATTTACCCCAAACTTGGCCTAGCTGTTCAGGAAAGCCCCAGAAACTTTGTGGTTTGGAACCACTAGCTGAGAGCAGAAGAGGAAAAAACTATCAACACCTCATCCTGTAAGCCAGTGACTTGAGACGTGTGTCATGATAATTACTGCTCCATCCCACACAAGTTAGAAATAGGATATTTCTGAATATTCCTGTCAGAGGTGCATTGAGCAAAAAAGAAAAAAAAAAAAGGCAAATAATGGATTTGGCATAAATCGTGACTTGGAAAAGGCCTCCAGGAGTAGGATGAGCCTAAGATGTAAGGCAGGGGCTGCTGCCATAGATGGTGTTATGAAGGCTCTGTCCTTTCCCATCTCCACACATTTAATGTGTCATTGCTGCGGGCTAGATGGTAAAACCCCACCCAGATTACATCCCAGGAAGCAACGAGAAAGAAACGAAGTGTATCTCACGGAAACAGGATTCTCAACTGGGGGCAGTTTTGCTCCCCAGAGGACACTAGGCCGTGTCTGGATCATCTGTGGTTGTCACAACTGGGGTGTTCCTGACTTTGAGTGGGTGGGGGCCAGGGATGCTGCTCAGCACCCCACAGTGCCCAGGATGGCCCCCACAGAGATGACCCAGCCCTAGTGTCAGCAGTGCCAAGGCTGAAACCCCCAACCTCTGGTACTGCCAGCACACAGGCCCTACCTAAATAAATTTGTCAAACCAATATCCCAAACCATTTTGCCACCAGCAAAAATAATTTGTTCACTGGCTCTAGAGTGCCCTTGTAACTTTGCAGCATAGATTTCACCCCAACCCAGGTAACTTGAAAACCCAAAACTGATGGCTTCACCACCCCACTCCCTCTTGCAAACTATTGATTTCAAAGTTGGAGCAAAGGTGGAGCCCAGTGTGGCCCTCCTAGACGAGAGGCTGAGGCCACCAGGTGGCGCGCCAGCTCCGCAGCCTCGCTGCCGCCACCGTCCCTGGAAAGGGACCAGAAAGTACGACGCCACATCTGATCATGAAACTACCTAGGTCTGGGCCTAAAAATGGCTCAGTTCTGGAGATTAACGTCGTGATTTTAGAGCTGGTTTTCCTTTCAGAAGTATAAGTCCTTGCAGCCGGGGACATCTGCTAGGCTCTCTACTGTGATGGGGTCACCATCCTAAGTTGCCTGATGCATTACAGCATCAAATATGAATCCTTTCAGTGGTGAGGTTGGAGGATGCAAATCACAAATTCTGCTCAGCCCATAGCTGTTCCCAGGTCTCTGTAAGCTCTGGTAGACTGGAAGAGTCCATTCTGTATTCTCTCTCTTTTATTATTGTACTCCTTAAATTTATCACAGTGTAACATACACAGACAAAGTGCACTCATTATAAGCAAAGGGCTTGAATTTCCACAAGGGAACGTGCCCATGTCATTGGCACCCAGACCAAGGACAGAACCTGACCAGCCCCCTGTCATGCCCTCTCCAGTCATTACTACCCCAAAGGGTAACACTGCCCCAGAGTTCAGTGCTGTGGGTTAGTTTTGCCTGTTTTTGAAATGTATACAATGGAATCTATGAAAGTTAAAAGTATAAAGATTATAGAAGAAAATATAAAGTATGATTTGGGATAGGCAAACTTTCTTAAAGAGAACACAAATCACTGTGATGGTTAATTTTATATGTCCACTTGGCTAGGTTACATTATCCAGGTATTTGGTAATACACCAGTCTAGATGTTGCCAGAAAGGTGTATTTTAGATGAAACTAACATTTAAATAAGTCAACTTTGAGTAGAGCAGATTAGCTTCTATAATACAGGTGTGCTGCATCTAATCTGTTGAAGGCTTTAAGAGAAAAGACTGAGCTCCCCATAAAGAAGAGAGAATTCTTCATCCAGACTCAAACTGCAACATCAACTCTTCCCTGGGTCTTCAGCCTGTTGGCCTGCCCTGCATACTTCAGATTTGCCAGCCCCCACGACCACATGAACCAATTCCTTAAAATAAATCTATCATCTATCTATTTCCCCTATTCTGTTTCTCTGGAGATCCTGACTAATAAAAGCTGTAACCATAATGTTTAAAAAAATCAGCAAATTGAACTGCATTAAAAGTGAAGGAAAGGGGGCTTAGGGGAGGTAGGAGAGGGTGAAGGGGTGATAAATGGTGACAGGAGACTTAGCTTGGAGTGGTGAACAAACAATACAATATACAGATGATTTATTATAGAATTGTATACCTGAAACCTATATAATTTTATTAACCAATGTCACCCCAATAAATTCAATTTTTAAAATATGAGGGGAAAGGTGAGCTATTGAGTGGGTGAAGACATTTGCAAAATATATTTGACAAAACTATAAATTACTCCTATATGTCAATGGGAAAAAGAGAAATGACCCAATTTTTTCAATGGTAAAAACACTTAGGCATTTGTTAAAAACAGAACATGCAATTGGCCAGTGAGCATATGAAAAGGGGCTCAATTTCACTAGGCATCAGAAAAATACTAATTAAAACCATAATGTGAGACTACTACACAAGAATGACTGAAATGAAAAACAAGTGCTGTTTATTACAAAAGTGCATCAGGGTCCCCGGGACCACCCCCAGGTGCAGGAATTCACCAGGAGGCCCCAGAACTCAGCAGATGGTTGAGCCAAGGGAAAGGGTACATGGAGCAGGGCCAGAGACAGGGTGCAAGCTTCCTGAGTCCTCTCTGAGTGGAGTCACCAGAGCACTCTTAATTGTCCCAAAATGAGAATGTGACAGCGTGTGGGAGGTGTGGTCCCCAGGGGGCTCATAGAAACCGTATGAGCGTTCTCCCCGGGGGCCAGTTACTCAGGCCCTTCCATGTGGCACGTAGGAGATCCCAGATTCCAGGAGGCGAGAGCAAGAGCTCAGCATGAACCACATGCTTGCACAGGCCGTGTAGGGACAGGGAGCCCTCAGAGTCCAGTTTCAGACACCAGCAAGGGTCAGCCTTGCAAGCCGCCCTTTCCAAAGATAGAAATCTCAGGCCTGCCATGTTAATTCTTTTGTGCACCTAAGGGGAAAAGCCAGCTTGTGCATTGAGTTCTAACACTGAGTGTTGGCATACCCCAGGACCCTGGAGGTACAATTCCACCTCTGGATGTACGCCCAACAGCCACGTGTATGGACAGCCACCCAAAGGCAGGCAGAGGAATAGTCAGAGCAGCGCTGTTAGCAGCAGCTAACAGCAGAAACTAATGGGCAACCGCAGCAGAATGGTGGCTGCTTGGGAGTTGGGGGTGGAAAGAGGCAGGAGGAAATTTTGGGGGGTGCAGGTTATTGCACTATTTTGACTGTGAGGGTGATTTCACAGATATACACATATGTCAATACTTATCA